TCTGGCTATTACAAACAATGCTGATATGAACATTGTTGATCAGATGTCCTTGTTGTATGAATGTGCTTCTTTAGGGTATATGTCTAGGAGTGGAATTACTGGATCTTGTGGTAGACACATTCCCATTTTCTTGAGGAGTCATCATACTGATTTCCAAAGTGCTTGTAAAGTTGGCACTCCCACCAGGAGTGGAGGAGTGTTCCTCTTTCTCCCCATAATCTCCAGCATAAACTGTAGCATAAACTGTCATTGGTATTTTTGATTTTAGCCATTCTGACAGGAGTAAGATGGTATCTCAGAGTTGTTTTGATTTGCATTTCCCTGATGACTAAGGATGTTGAACACTTTCTCATGTGTCTTTCCGCCATTTTAGATTCCTCTATTGAGAATTGTCTATTTAGTTCTGTGCCAAATTTTTTAATTGGATTGTTTGTTGTTATGGAGAATAGCTTCTTGAGTTCTTTGTATATTTTGGAGATCAGACCTCTGTCATATGTGAGGTTGGTGAATATCTTTTGCCAGTCTGTGGTCTGTCGTTTTGTCTTGCTGACTATGTCCTTTGCCTTACAGAAGCTTCTCAGTTTCAGGAGGTCCAATTTATTTATTGTTTTTCTCAGTGTCTGTGCTACTGGTGTTATGTTCAGGAAGCAGTCTCCTGTACCAATTAATTCAAGGGTATTTCCCAATTTATCTTCTAGTAGGTTCAGTGTGACTGGGTTATGTTGAGGTCTTTTATCCATTTTGACTTAAGATTTGTGCAAGGTGAAAGGCGTTGTTCTATCTGTAGTCTTCGACATGTTTGCATCCAGTTATGCCAGCACCATTTGTAGAAGATGTTCTCTTTGTTCCAGAGTATATATTTGGATTGTTTGTCAAAAATCAGGTGTTCATTGGTGTGTGGGGTAAAATCAGGGTTTACAATTCTATTCCATTGGTCTACCTGTCTATGTTTGTGCCAATACCAAGCTGATTTCAGGACTATAGCTCTGTAATAGAGCTTAAAGTTAGGGATGGTGATGCCTCTAGAAGTTCCTCTATTGTACAGCTTTGTTTTCGCTATCCTGGGTCTTTTGTTTCTCCATATAAAGTTGAGAATTGTTATTTCAATGTCAGTGAGAATTGTGTTGGGATTTTGATGGAGATTGCATTGAATCTGTAGATTGCTTTTGGCAAGATTGCCATTTTTACTATGTTGATCCTGCCTATCCAAGAGCATGGGAGATCTTTCCATTTCCGGGTATCTGCTTTAATTTCTTGCTTTAGAGACTCAAAATTCCTATGGTACAGGTCTTTCATATTTTTGGTTAGTGTTACTCCAAGTTATTTTATGTTGTTTGTGGCAATTGTAAAGGGTGATGCTTCTCTGATTTCTTTCTCCACCAATGTGTCATCTGTATATAGAAGGGGTACAGATTTTTTTCAGTTAATCTTGTATCCTGCCACTTTGCTGAAGGTGTTTATCAGATGTAGGAGTTCCCTGGTAGAGTTTTTTGGGTCAGTTATGTAGACTATCATATCATCTGCAAATAGTGAGAGTTTGACTTCTTCCTTTCCAATTTATATTCCCTTGATCTCCTTTTGTTGTCTTATTTCTCTAGCTAGAACTTCAAAGACAATATTGAAGAGGTATGAAAGGAGTGGACAGCCTTGTCATGTACCTGATTTTAGAGGAATTACATGGAATTTCTCTCTGTTTAATTTGTTGTTGGCTGTCGGCTTACTGTATACTGCTTTTATTATGTTGAGGTATGTTCCTATTATGTCCCGCGGGATTGTCTTGCCGGCAAGAACAACACAGCACACTCGGATCCTTCTACAATAAAGCTTTATGCGTCTTGAGAGAGAGAGCATAAGCTTACAAAAGTGGAGACCCCAAGCCAAGAATCCCATCCCCTAATAAAGGCTCACAAACTCTGAGTGATGCGTGTACAGCTGGGATAGTTGCATGACTCGTCACCCTATATGACGCCATGGAATAGGCGGGGCTAGGCAGTGGAAAAACACTGAGCACATGC